AGGCATCAATCTAAATAACAAACAGAGAGGGTTTCCAAAGAATAATAATATTTATTTGGGAATATCAGAGCATTGCAATGATATATACATGCCTTAGTAAACTATGAGTATATTCAAATAGGTTGAAGCAAGAGTTTTTAAAGGCCAAAAGAGGAGGATTGTATAAGATATTTTGAAACAATAATTCTTGACTACAAGGATTAATAATAACAAGGGTGTATCAGTTCAACAGAAAACTGTTGGGCAGACATCCTTGCAGAAGTTAAAAAATTTTTTTTTATTTATAGCATATATCAGCACTTCATTCCTACTTGTGGCATTGTTTGTATACACCACAATTTGTTTAATCATTTATTTATTTATTTTTGGTGGCACTGAGGTTTGCGCTCAGGGTCTTATGCTTGCTAGTCAGCTCTCCACTACTTGAACCACTCCATAAGCCCTTGTTTAACCGTTTTATCTGTTGATAGACAATTGGATTGTTTCTACTGTTTTGCTCTTACAAATACCATTGCAATGACATTTTTCTTGGCTATATACTCAGTAGTGAAATTGCTGGGTCATAAATAATTCTATATTTAACTTGCTGAGGGGCAGCCATTTTCAACAGAGCTGGCACTGTTTTACATTCCCACCAGCACTGTACTTGCTAAAAGTTATTTTCTAATTTTAGAAAAAATTGGAGTCACCCTGGTGAGTATGAAGTACTATCTCATTGTGGTTTTGGTTTACATTTCCTTAAAGACCAATGATGCTTAACACTTTTTTTTGTGTGGTATGGTTTAGATATGGTTTGTTCCCACCAAAACTCATGTTGAAATTTGATTCCTAATGTGGCGGGATTAGAAGGTAGGGCTTGTGAGGTGTTGAGCCTTTAAGATGTATTAATGCTTTTACTGCTGGAATGACTTTTTACGCTGGCAGACTAGACTGGTTACCACAAAGGTGGGTTGTTATAAAGCAAGCCTGGCACCTCCCCTTGGTTTCTCTCACAAAGGTATTCTGCATGAACCCCTTCTACCTTTCTGCTTTTCCACTTCTTTTTTGGTGGCCCTAGGGTTTGAACTCAAGACCTCGTGCTTGCTAGGCAGGCGCTCCTACTGCTTGAGCCACTCCACCAGCCCTCTGCTTTTCTACTATGAGTTGACCCACTATGAGACCTTCAGCAGAAGCTGGGCAGACATTGGCACCATGCTCTTAGACCTTCCTGCCTCTAAAACACTGAGCCAAAATAGACTCCTTTCTAATGTATCCAGCCTTAGGTATTTGGTTATAGCAACAGAAAACTGACTAAGACAATGTGCTTGTTAGCCATCTGTATACCTTCTCTGGACAATGTCTGTTCAAGTCTTTTGCCTGTGTTTTTTGTTTTGTTTTTGAGACAGGATCTCACCATGTAGCCCAGGTTAGACTTGAACTCATGGTCCTCCTGGCCTCAGACTCCTTGTGCTGGGATTACAGGTGTGCACCATCATGCCCAGCTCCTTGCCGTTTTTAATAAGTTTTTTTTGGTTACTGTTTGAATTATAAGTCTTTAAAAGTATATTTTGAACTTTAAGCCCTTATCAGATACATGTTAGCCAGTATTTTCTCCCATTATCTAGTTGTCTTTTTACATTCTTGGTAATTTACCTGATGCATAAAAGTTTTAATTTTTTTTTTTTGGTGGACTGGGGTTTTCAGGGCTTTGTGCTTGCAAAGAAGTTGTTCTACCACTTAAGCAACACCACCAGTCCATTTTTTCCCTGGTTATTTTGGAGATGGGGTCTTGTGAACTATTTGCCTGGGCTGGCCTCCAACTGCCATCCTCCCAATCTCAGCCTCCCAAGTAGCTGAGATTACAGGCATGAGCCATTGGCTTCCAGCAAAAAGTTTTATATTTTGATGAAGTCCAATTTATCTATTTTGTTTAGGAGTCAAATCTAAGAACCCATTGCCAGATCTGAGGTCATGAAGGTAACTCATTTCCTTCTAATGATTTTATAGCATTAGCTCTTTTTTTGTGTGTGTACTGGGGCTTGAACTCAGAGTCTACACCTTGAGTCACTCCACCAGCCCTTTTTTTTTGATGGATTTTTTTCAAGAGAGGGTCTCCCAAACTATTTGGTAGGCTGGCTTCAAACAATGATCCTTCTCATCTCTGCCTCTTGAGTAATTAGGATTTCAGGCATGAGCCACTGACACCCGGCTAGCGTTAGCTCTTATACTCAGGTTGTTAGTTCATTTTGAATTAATTTTCTTTTAAATTGGTGGCCCTGGGGTTTGAACTCAGGCGCTTACACTTGCTAGGCAGGCACTCTATGGCTTGAGTCATTCTGCCAGTCTTTGAATTAATTTTTGTATGTAGTGTGAAGTTGTTTTGATTACTGTGGCTTTGTAATATTGTTTTGTTTATGGGGCCCTTTGTCCTTCAATATGATTCTTTTCTGGGGGGAATGGGGTTGGAACTCAAGGCTTCACACTTGCAAAGCAGGTGCTATACCACTTGAACCACACATCCAGTCCATTTTGCTCTGGGTATTTTGGAGATGGGCTGTCCTCAAACTGCAATCTCAGCTTCCCATGGTAGCTAGGATTACAGATATGGGCCACTGGTACCTGGCTTCAATATGAATTTAAAAATTAGTTTTTCAGGGCTGGGGACTTGGCTCAAGTGGTAGAACACCTGCCTAGCAAGTGCAAAGCCTTGAGTTCAAACTCCAGTATAGTCAAAAAAAAATTGGATTTTCTATTTCTGGGGGTAAAAAAGGACCAGGGACATGGCTTCAGATCTGGTGAACCTGGAACTTGAAGATGAACATAACCTACACTTTGGATCTGACATTAGATTTAGACTCTACACATGGACCAGGACCTGATCTTTGCACTGCAACTTGGAACTGACCTTTGGACCTGGGCCTCAAACTTCACATCTACTAGATCTGACCTTGGTCATAGATCAAGGATCTTCTGTCTGCACATGCATGTTGGACCTGCATCTTGGACCTGGATTTGCCCAATTCCTGAAAAATGGCTTTCAGCTAGAAATTGAAGTACCTATGACTGAACATTTTATTTGGTCTTTGGAATTTGTCCTTGACTTTGACCTGACCTAGGGCATATATTTGAATACTTAACTTCAATTTCATAACTGTCTTTGACTGCATTTTTGCAGGATCTTGGACTTAAGCTTATATTTGAACCTTGGACCTCAATCTGGGTCTTAGGTGTTCTAATAGTTTGTTGGGACTTCTGTAACAAAGTATCACAAACTGGGTAGTTTAACAACCAAAAATTAATGTCTTGTGGTGTTAGACAGTTTTGATACTATAACAAATACTGAGATCATCAATATATAAAGAGAAAAGGTTTGTTAAGTTTCACTTCATGATTGGTTGGCCCTGTTTCTTTGGGTTTGTGGTAAGGCAGCATAACACGGTGGAATGTGTGGCGGAGCAAAGCTGTTTACCTCATGGTCAGAGAGAGAAAGAGGAAGAAGACAGAGTCCCAGTATTCCCTTCAAGGGCACACCTCAGGTGACCTGAAGACTTCCCATTAGGCCCTACCTCTTAAAAGTTTCCACCATCTCAAAATAGCACCAAGCTGGAGACCAAAGCCTTTAACATATGGGCCTTAAGGAACATTTCAGATCCAAACTATAGCACTCACAGATAGAGAGGTGAGAAGTCCAAGATCAAGGTGTTAGTTCTTTCTGAGGATTATGAAGGAGAAATGTGTTCCATACCTCTCTCCTAGTTTCTGGTGGTTTTCTAGCAATCTTTGGCATTCTTTGGCTTGCAGATGCATGGCTCTGATCAATCTTCATACTTACACAGTATTCTAGCTGTAGGCATATGTCCACATTTCCCCTTTTGATAAGTCATATTGAATCAGAGGCTAACCCTACTCTACTATGATGTCATCTTAATTAATTACATCTTCAGTGACCCCATTTCCAAATTGGGTTACATTTTGAGGCATGTGGAGTTAGGACTTCAATAAATTAATTGGGGGTGGGGGGCACGATTAAACCTATAACAAATGTGAAGGGGTATCTTTGGGACATAGAACAGGACAGTGTACACAAACTAGGAATCTGAACTTGGAACTAGTACCTGGTTATTGACATGGATTAGTCTAATATTGGACCTAGTATTCTGGATATTCAATGTAGATCTTAGCTTTCAGCAGAGTGTCTGGAACTCAGATATGGGATGTATTCCTTGGATCTAGGCTTTATTCCTAGATTTGGACCTCAGATATGAACATCAGACCTTAGAGCTAAACCTCATTTCTGACCTCTATCCTCTAACTCAGAATGGATTACACATGCTCTTGCTGCTAGGTTTTGGATCTTGCAGCTGGAACTCAATTTGGTACTAGATAATAAACATGGATTTAAGACATATGTTTAATCTGGACCTGAGAATAATTTAAGACCTGAACGGTGGTCCTAGAATTGGACCTTTGACTTGATCTTGGAACTCTGGACTGGACCTATGATGTTGGCAAGAGCAGCTCCCTTGGGATGAGATGTGTGCAAACTCCATTGGAGTGAGCTGCTGAGAAAATGGGGATGAACCTATCAGTGTAGATAGCTGATGTGGGCTTGTCTGTGCAGAGATGAAGACATAAGAGGTAGGTAAAGGGGAAAATGAGGTTACAAATATTTTCAAAATCCCAGTACTCAGGAGGCTAAGGCAAGTTTGAGGCTAGCCTGGTCTATGCAGTGAGACCCTAACTCAAACAACAAAAAAAAGTTTGTTTTTCAAAGATAGTAGACAACATAGGGTACCAGTATATAGAATCCTAGCTACTCGGGAGGAAGAGGTCAGGAGGATAACAGTTCTAAGCCAGTCTGGGCAAACAGTTTGAGAAACCCTACCTCAAAAAATACCTAACACAAAAAAGGCTGGGGGAGTAGTAAAGTGCCTGCCTAGCAAGCATGAATCCCTGATTTAAATTTCTAGAACTGGCAAAAAAAAAAAAAAAAAAAAAAAAGATAGGGGACACCAAAATACGTTTTAATTTGAAGGGGTAGGACTGAATGGAGAAAGATAAAGGATGCAGCAGAGACTGATAACCAAAAGAGCAAGGAGAAGGGATTCCAAGCACAAAGAGACTGGTTTAATGGGAATAGGACTCTTCTTATGTCATAATAGGAAGACAGGAGCTGGGTACACATGAAGATACATTTAGAGGTTCAAGTGGAAGAAGGTTCTCTAGACCTTTCATTCTAAACCAAAAGAGAGTGCAACAATATAAATGGTTCAGCCCACTATCTCTAGCTGACCAGCCTTCACACAAGGTAACCTCCTCTAACATTTTTTTAGGGCTTTTCACAACTCCCAGTGTGTTAGACTGTCATGATAATGGCCTCCAGTGATTTACATCTCCATATCTATGTTCTTATGTATTCTCCTTCTCATGGAATCTGGGCTTGGCCAAGTGACTTTCTTGGACAATGAGACATTAGCAAACGTGACATAGCAAAAGCTGCATAAACTTGAATGGGGGCCTTCCCTCTTGGAACCTTGAAATAATTGCTAAGAAGTTCAGGATGAAACACCATGTGAGACCCACAAGTTGAATGTAGCCACATGAATGAATCTAAATGAAACCAGTAGAATCACCCAGCCAGCCCACAGACACATAGAAGAAATCATTGTTATTTTAAGTCACTGAAGTTTAAGGTAATACGTAATGCAGCAAAATAAAACTATTATACTGTTATAGTACAGACATGACTACTTTTGGTGCCTTTGTGCAAATTAGAAAGAAATGTATCTTAAAAACATGCCTCCCCTGGGCCGATACACTTTGGCTCAAATAAGAAGTGCCTCTACCTCTAGGACACAGCCCTATGCCAAGATGAATGTCATGGTTTTGAGTCTACACTCAGTTCTACCACTGGGTGCCTCTATGTGCTCACATAAGCTTCCCTGTGTGTGTGTGTGTGTGTGTGTGTGTGTGTGTGTGTAGTTCTCAGCAAAAACAGAACTTCTTAACCATCCATGTACATTCCAGAGAAGAGGTAGACAGATTGCATATACTGTAAGATGTGCAGTGGTAAGCTAGACCCTGTGGCATGTAGTGGTGCCCAGCCTCTTCTAGGCACCATGAGCCTAGGCTTTCCTGGTCTATGAGAGAAGGCAAGGCATTACCATCAGTTATCAGAGACTGACAGGTCTCTATCAGGCTGGTCCTGGGCCTTCTGTTTTAGCTGCACAGTGGATGCCTCCCTCTGGACAGTAGTGTACAGGGCCACAGCGCAACTGTGGCTCCTCCTCCTCATACCAGCGCTGTTCACTGAAGTCAGGGAAGAAGACTGCAATCTCTCTGCTGGCTGAAACTGCAGAATCTGTTAGGGAGAGGTAAGACAGAGAAGAGTGCTACCTAGGAGGCTTACACAGGAGGACTGCAAGTTTGTGGCCAGCCTAAACAACATAGCAAGACCCCATTCTCCCCTCTCCCCATCAAAGATGAGGCTCTCACAGGGAGTGCAGGGTACAGGCAAGAGGCAGTCATAATCATGCTCAGAGACTTGAGCCTCTGCCTCTACCTGCCTCCTCAGCCCTGGGATACGTAAAGAAAGCCCATGGGCAACATCAGCTGAGATGGCTATGAAAGGCCAGAAAGCTCATGAGAGGGACCTGGCTGTCAACCTTACCATATAGCCCACCAACAGCCCCAAGACAGCCTTCCTTATTTGTGGTTATACACAAGGGAGGTAGACTCACCTGAGCCATGGGTGGTGTTGCGGGTATCAGTGAGGCCAAAACTCCCACGAATTGAATCTGGGGCTATGTGGCGTGCTCGAAATACCCTGGTAGGTCCCATGAGCTTCCTCCAGAGCTGGATGGCATCCTGGCGGGCGAGAATGTATGCTCGGATTGGCCCACTGTGAACAAAAGGAGCACATTAAGGAATCTGACCACCTAGTCTAGGATATCATGCTGTGAGCAGGGCACAAATAAAGGCACAGTACGTCCTGAGAATTTCTTTGTCCTTCTAGCTGAGTACCAATGCTGCTTCAAAGAAAAGGTGAAGGCAGTGGGGAGGGGCTCCTGCTGATGTATAAGAAGAGCTGCAGAAATCTGCAGAGTTGCTAGGCAGCATTTAATAATACTCTTCTATAGCCACTGGTCTAGTAATCACCATGACAGTCATTGGCTGAAAGCCCATGCCCACTTTTCTTCAGACTTGACATTGATTATAAACTTAAAGAATGAAAAATTAAGTTAACAGTTCTATTTATGGAGCAGAAGAGATATGCTTCAGTGGATAAAAATTCTGGAACCAAAATTAGAAATACCTGGCCATGAACTCCACCAGTCGCTGATAGAAAAAACGCCCTGTAAAGAGAGAATACCTTCATCAAGATACTGGTGTCCCAGAAAACTTTTTGCACTTCTATTTCCTTACCTGGAATAATTACACTGCTTTAGAGAAAAGAACAAGGACTTTGCGTTCTGACATTTCTGAGTGAGACTTAACAGCCTGTATAGTTTAAGGTAAGTCATTAAACTCCCTAACTTGGTTTTCAAATCTGTGTACTGAGGATGTAACAATACCTACCTTTCAGGATTTGGCAAGAATTTAATGTTTTTTTTTTTATTAATTTTTGTTGGGAGAACTAAAATGAAGTAATAAACATTAGCACAATGTCTGACAGAATAAACCTTCACTGAATGTTAATTGCTGATATTATTAAGTTTCTGATTGGAACTGTGAGGCACAACCATCTTAGGAAAATAAAAATACTGGTAAAAGGGGCTGGGGATGTAGCTCAGTGGTAGAGGGCTTACCAGCATGTGCAAGCCCTGAATTCAATCCCCAGTACTGCAAAAAAAATATTGATAACTAAAAGGTATCATATAAACATTTTAGAAGACTGGTTGCATTTTTACATAGGTGGTAGGTCAGGGAGAGTCTGCTATCACATGTTCCAGGGAAACTCTTTCTTACAGGTCTCTTAGAATTAAGAAGCTTTGCATTCAGAGGACTATTGGTCCTACCTTCATGCTCATGGTAAAATCTCTGGCAATCTTCCTTTCTCCATAGTAGTTCTCTCATTCGAACTATAAGGAACTTGTTGCTCAGAATCTGCTGATGAACAGCCTAGGTAAACACCATCCCAAAGATAAAAATCAATCAGGAGACCCAGGTTGATCCAAAGAAACCAAGAGGACCCCCCTGGAGCTTAGGACTTGAAGGGTCTGTCCCATCGGTGAGTATTATGGTCTGGATCTTAAACATCTACCAAAAGCTCATGTGTTAAAGGCTTAGTCCTCAACTGATGGCACTATTGGGAGGCAGTGGAAACCTTAGAAGGTGGAACCTAGTTGAAGGAACCTAGTTGAAGGAAGTTAGTGTCACTAGGGACATGCCCTTGAAGGGAATATTGGAATCCTAGACACCTTCCTCTCTTTCTCTTTTACTTCCCATCCACTGTGATATGAGCAGCTTTGTTTCACTGTGTGCTCCCACCAAGATGTTCATTCTTACCACAGGCCCAAAGTGATGGGCCAAACAACCATGGATCAAAATCTCTGAAACTTTAAGGCAAAACCTTCCTCCTTTACAGTTGTTTATGTCAGGTATTTTGTCACAGGGACAGAAAGTTGACTAACACAGTGGGTCAGAAGAGAAAGACAAGGTGAGGTCAAAACCTTCAGTCAAATAATCAGTGTGGTCAGGTGCCGGTGGCTTATGCCTGTAATCCTAGCTACTCAGGAGACAGAGATCAGGAGGATTGTGGTTTAAAGCCAGCCTGGGCAAATAGTTCTGCAAGACCCTATCTCGAAAAAACCCATTTCAAAAATAGGGCTGGTGGAGTGGCTCAAGGTGATGGTCTGAGTTCAAGCCCCAGTATTGCAAAAAAAAAAAAAAGCCAGTGTGAGCTGTGGGTGCAGGAAGACAGGAAATTTCTGTCCCTCCATTCCTGCAGTTTTTTGAGCTTAAGTTCTCAGGATCCACCACTCTTCTAGACTACCATGAAAGTCTTGCTAATTGTTCTGTCTTGAGTTTCTCTAAACCATTATACTTGCCTGATTAAAAATATTGTAACTTACATGTTATACCCTGACAGAAGGTTTTGGGTAGTTCCTATTATTTATGGAACAAAGTATATTATTCATGGAACAAACTTTAGTTCACTGTTCAAGGCTACACTTTCCTGGCTCTCTACCACTTACAATTCTCTAGTTCCACCAGCCCAATCTGACTAACCACAAGCATTACTGCCTTAGTGTCTCCCTTCTGTGGAATATCTGTTCGTCTCTTGGCATTAACCAATGTTTACCTTCCTTTGAGGACTAGCTGAGTCCCACCCCTTCCAGACCACCATTCTGGACTACTCTGGTCTTCCTCTTGTACTACAGCAGACTTACTGAGCATGTTGCTCAGTAAGTATTTATTGAATTATGGTGGGCAGAATTCAAAAATAATCCTTCCCTGTTTGCCGTATCTCACTGGAACCATTTCCTAAACATTAGTGTTCACTGAGTTTCTGTCATTCTGCTCTTGTTTAATTCTATACTTTTTTCTTTGTCAATATTGTTCACTTCCTTCATTTCAAATGCCACTCATGATTTCCGGCATTGGTCATGAGCCGAGATTTCCCACTCTAATTTCCAGGACTGTGAATGTGATACAATATGGTTATGCCACACTGCATAACAAAAGGGGTTTTGCAGATGTAAATAAGGTCACTAATCAGTTGACTTTAATCAAAAGAGCCTAATTAGTCACATTGAAGGACAGACTGCAGAAGGTCCCAAAAGGTGGCCAAGGAGACACCTCTCCTTCCCAGGAAACATCTGTCTGCACATCTCTGTCCTCGGGCAATACAAAAAGGGCTATAAAAACCCAATTTCCAATCTGACCCCATGGGACCACCAGTTTCCAGGTCCCCCTACATGTCCCCATGTAGCTAGGATTACAGCCATAAGCCACCCATACATGGCTCACATGCACAATTTTCTCTGGCTGTGGGAGAAAATGGAAGTCAGAGTAATTTGGAACATGAGAAGGATCAGATGTCTTAATATGCTATCTTAAAGATGCAGTGGGTCATGTGGTAAGGAATGTGTGTGGTCTCTATAAAGTGAGAGTAGTTCCTTGAAGGCCAAGCAAGCAAATGGGGATCTCTGTTCTATAATCACAGGAACTGAATTCTGCCAACAACCTTAGCAAGTGTGGAACCGGGGTCTTTCCTAGACACTCCAGATATGGGCTGGCGGAGTGGCTCAAGTGGTAAAGTGCCTCTCTAGAATTGTGATGTAAGTGTTATCTTAAGTTGTCAAGTGTGTGGTATTTGTTATGCAACAAATTATATATATATAATATATATTATACATATATTATATAATATATATTATATACTATATAATATATATTATATATAAAGAGAGAGCAAGACAGAAGAGGTTTTTTTTTAATTTCAATTGTGTTGGGTCCTTTCTTGTATTTTAGATCTGCCCCAAGTCTCCAACAGATTTTTAGTCTCCTTAGGATCAGAGTCTATGGTTCCTAGCTTTGCTTCCACAGCATCTAGTGCAGAACTATGTTGTCAGTCACCACAAGTGCCCCTATAGCACCTGAAACAGTAACAAAGGCAGCAGAGGCTAAGGATTCATTCTTACCTCCAGAATCAGTGGGTGAGCAACTGCATCAGGCTTGATCAGAGCTAGAGTGAGCTGGAGAGCATGAGGACTTCGTAAGATGGAGGTCATCTCACTCCTGCCATCAGAAAGATGGATTAGGGACCCATCAGTGCTGCACTTCCACCCCTCCCTATCCTGGAAGACATGCAGCCTTGCAAGGCAACCAGGCCTTCATTCCTGGAATGATTTTGTGTGTGTGTGTGTGTGTGTGTGTGTGTGTGTGTGTGTGGTACTGGGGCTTGAACTCAGGGCCTTGAGATTTGCTAGGCACCACTTGAACCATACCACCAGCCAAGGCAAGGGCCTTTACTTCTGGCACTCACAAAGCACCTGACAGTTACACTGCAAGACTGCATACATCACTTATTTACTTGCTTATTTGTGCTCAGGGGAGTGGTAAAGGGGACACTCAGCTTACCCTGTGGGGCATAAAGTCTGGTTTGTGCAACTGTAAGGCCTTGAGGGAATTACCCGTTCAAGAGAAATTTAAGTTTAAACACTGTCTTTGCCAATACTTACAAACTTTCTTTTGTATTTCATTCAAGATATATAATTTATACTCCTGAACAGCTTAGACACAGACTAAATGACTGATTCCACTCTTAAGGCCCTATTCCATAAGGTTCTCCCATCAATTCTAGAATTGGTAGATAGACTGAAAAGAACTGGGAAGGCTGGTGGAGTGGCTCAAGTGGTAGAGAACTTACCTAGCAAGCATGAGGGGCTGAGTTCAAACCCCAGTCCTGAAAAAAAAAAAAAAAAGAATTGGGAGGCTACCAGGATAACAAAAGACTGCGGGCTACAAACCAGCTCTTACCTAATATTATGGATAGGTCATGATCTCCCTTGCCCAAATCAAACCTGTTAATAGACTCAGCTGTCCTCATTGGCCAGGATTATATAGATATGCAACTACATGGTCAGGGACTGGTTATAATCATGAAACAGTACCTAGTAGAAAGTGCTCTATTAATTTTATTTAACAAATGAGCCAGTATAGCCTTATTTTTATTCATCTTTATGTTCTAGTGTCTAACGTGGTGTAAAAATGCAATAAATAATTGTAAAAATGACAAAACAGGGGTGCCGGTGGCTCACGCCTGTAATCCTAGCTACTCAGGAGGCAGATCGTGGTTCGAAGCCAGCCTGGGCAAATAGTTCAAGAGACTCTATCTTGAAAAAACCATCACAAAAAAAGGGCTGAAAGAGTGACTCAAGGTGTAGGCCCTGAGCTCAAAAAAAAAAAAAAAAAAAGACATAACAGCTAAAATATTTTATAAATTGGACTAAGATTTTGAGGTCTCTTCCAATTGTGAAGTTGTATTTACTTGGGAGAAATTTATCACTTTTGCAGGAGTAAAGACTAAAAGACTAGGTCTCAGCCACATGTAGTGGCATATGCCCCCACGTGGGAGGCTGCAATAGGAGGATCATGAGTTTGAGGCCAGCCTGGGCTATATGGCAAATTTGAGGCCTGCTTGGACTACATATTGAGACCAAGTTTCAAAAACAAAACAAAAAACTGGTGTAAAAATATTGTCTCTAACATGCCAAGAGATACAGAGAAGGCTTCCATGAACACACATAGGGAGAGGATCTGTACAACATTCTTGTTTCTTTTGGCCTGAAGGTGGCCAGGATCATGTTAGAGGTGATGCTAGGGTCTAGTCCAAACAAACTATGCTAAGGTCTCTTCTATTCATGTCCTTTCTACCGCTTTCAACTTGACCTTCCACTTAAACCATGAAGTCAAGCTCATTTAACCAGTACAAATTCAGCGAACTCACTCTACCTAATATCCCACATGGTGAGTAATATCCCAGATGGTAATGATGATCATTACCAGTTATCCATGGGGTCACTCTTGACATCTCCAGTTTCTCATTCCCCATATGAATATTAAGTTCTGCTAATTTTACCTTTCTAATATATCTCAAAACCCAAACAGATCTCTCTCTTAACTGCTGTCACCACCAGTCCTCCCTGAACCATAACAGTCTCCTCACTGGTTTCTCCTTTTCTACTCTTGCCACCCTACCAGAGTGAACTAAAAAGGCAAATCTAATCATATTATTTCTTCCCTTAACCGTTTTAAGTGCACTCTGCTCTTAACAGCAAGACCTGAACTCCTTACTACTGCCTATCAGGTTTTACATGATCTGGACCCTGGGTACTCGTCTAGCCTCATCTGGAACCCCACATTCCTAACTCTTGCTCCAGCCTCATGGGCTTTTCAGTTCCAAAAGATTTGGTGGCCTGACAGCCTTTGCGAAAATTTTTGTACTCCCGCATGGGCTTCCTCTGGTTTTCTCCGATAATTACACTTTCTCAGAGCTATCCGCGCACCAGTATCCTCAGTGCCTATGCAGGGTGCCAGCACACAGGGGGCTCAACAGTATTTGCTTATCGAACCTGATCTGGTTATCTCAAGACCAGGGTGCCAGGGTGTTTCCTGGGGAGGGCACGCGACCCGACCCGTGGAGCGTACGCGGTGCCAGCTGAGTTATCGCTGTCTTGGGCCTTGGTTTACAACAAATGTCAAGTCGAAAAACACGATCAACTTAAAGGTCACTCCATCAGAAATTTACAAACTTTACAAGTTGGCTAGGCGTTTGCCCCCATACCCGAAGTGACCACTGCTCGGCTACTCGAAAAGCCGCGGCCAGGCCCCTCATACTTCCACGCGCAGAAAGGAATTGAGGCCCACCAACATCACCGCCGCCCGGACACCTGTGGCCACGCCTCCCACTCCCCCCCGGTGCACAGCCTCAGCTCTCTACCCGCCCTCGACCCCCATTCTCTAGGCCTCCACCCGCGCGTCGCCAGTCCCTTGTACAGGGGCCAAAGCCCACCCCAGACTCTTCTACTTGGGCTCACCTGGTCCTCCCACCGCGGCGCCAGGCCACCAGGCACTGCGTTAGTTAGCTTGCACGGCTCTTTCGGGTCCTTCAGGCGTTAGGCCGGGCAGCCCACTTTGGGGTCCTTGCACGGTTGCGTGGCAGTGATGTGGCCGCCTGCCTGGGAGAGTGTGGGGAGCGTTGTCTCCAGGCTCCGCTGAGTGGCAGCTGTCAAACTCAACAGGTTGTGAATGGGTTACCCTGAAGGTTTCTCCACACTTAAAAAAAAATTATTTTATCTTAATTTATTTCTGCCTTGACACCTCCCTTATGTTACGTCGCGTGTACTGTGTGACTTGTCTTATGGTGTCTTTTGAAAAAGACTTGCGCATGCCAGGCAAGTGCTCTACCACCGAGCCACATCTCCATCTCACCCTGGAGTCTTCTTGAAACAGTCCTGAGTGAGGGAATGAAAACTGAGGGTATTCTTGGTGTGCAGTGTGATGTATGGAGAAGATGGTGACACTAGGAACAGAGGGGTCAGTTATGATCAGAAAAGCCATGACAGCTTTAATAGATAGTAAAAATGTTTCCTTTCAGAGAACCACTGAGATTGAGAGGAGTGAAAAAATATTTGGCATCAGTTTGAAGACTTGATCATTTAAGTGACTTTGCTGTGTTTGAATCACGCAGGTGTTGCACACCTGTGTGAGAATCAGCTTAGATTGGGTTTTTTTCTGTCAAAGGATTTAATTAGTAACCACCACTGTTACAAATGTTAGTCTCACTAACTTGCTTCCCATACGCTCCCTTTATGGACTTTGCTTAATGTGATAAAAGTTTCTATTTATAACAACGAGTTGTTATCCTCAGCCTGACCTGGGCAAAATTCCACTAGATGCCCTGGTTTAGGAGATGATAACCTAAAATAGTTATTGTTTCCCTGAGCTTTTAAACTTCTTTGTCTTCAAAACCCCCTTCCGATGCCCCTTTCCAGTTAGCCAACCATGTAGACTGTGAACCCAAAACCTTTCCAATTCAGGGGAGGGGCAGCATTGCATTAGAGATAAAACCCCAGTGGACTCCCCACTGAATGTGCTTGCCATTTGTCTGTGTCACACCCTTCTGCAGAAGTTAATTTTGCCTTGCCTGTTGACTTCTGAGTTGTGTTGCCTCTCTCGTGACACCGCAATTTCTTTTTTTAAATTTTTATTGTTTTATTATTCATATATGCATACAATGCTTGGGTCATTTCTCCCCCCCTGCCCCCACCCCCTCCCTTACCACCCACTCCGCCCCCTCCCTCTCCCCCCCATCCCTTCTGTACCCGGCAGAAACTATTTTGCCCTTATCTCTAATTTTTTTGAAGAGAGTGTATAAGCAATAATAGGAAGGAACAAGTGTTTTTGCTAGTTGAGATAAGGATAGCTATACAGGGAGTTGACTCACATTAATTTCCTGTGCATGTGTGTTACCTTCTAGGTTAATTCTTTTTGATCTAACCTTTTCTCTAGTTCCTGGTCCCCTTCTCCTATTGGCCTCAGTTGCTTTTAAGGTATCTGCTTTAGTTTCTCTGCATTAAGGGCAACAAATGCTAGCTAATTTTTTAGGTGTCTTACCTATCCTCACCCCTCCCTTGTGTGCTCTCGCTTTTATCATGTGCTCAAAGTCCAGTCCCCTTGTTGTGTTTGCCCTTGATCTAATGTCCGCATATGAGGGAGAACATACGATTTTTGGTCTTTTGGGCCAGGCTAACCTCACTCAGAATGATGTTCTCCAATTCCATCCATTTACCAGCGAATGATAACATTTCGTTCTTCTTCATGGCTGCATAAAATTCCATTGTGTATAGATACCACATTTTCTTGATCCATTTGTCAGTGGTGGGGCATCTTGGCTGTTTCCATAACTTGGCTATTGTGAATAGTGCTGCAATAAACATGGACATCCCAGTTTCTTAAAGATATTTCTAACACTGGAATGTTGGAAGGAGGCTCTGTAGTACTTGCAGCTTGTTTGCACAATGTGTCTTCCTCAGCAAAGTCCCTTTCTTACCTGTCTGACTGATGAAGGCACAAGTCCAATTCTGCCTTCACAGGATGATAGAAAACTGACCATGCGCCACTGACTAAACATTTAGTTTTGTTTTATTTTCAGGTCCAGTTTTTCTATATTCATCTTCATTAACATACGTTTGGACCATAGGGACTTCGCTGGCTTTTACACCGTAATCATAAGGTTTTTCTTCTGTCTCTGTCTTGTACATGAACACACATACACACACACACACTCACACACACACACACATACAGTGGAAGACTTTGGTTCCATAATTTACAGTTGCTTTGATCATTCTCAACCACAAGGCTGTATACTGAAAGTAAGGGCAGATGTAGTTTAGGAACTTGAGTTCAGAACCAACAGAGAAAAGAGGAATGGCAGCAGGCAGGTGGAGATCAAATTTTTAGGTTAAGTGCCACAATGGCTTATTTTGGCATTTTTTTCTCTTCTCTTGCCCTCCTTTCCAGAAGTCTCATTGAGTTTCTAGCGCTATCTGCTTCTTAAATTGTACCTATGTTATCTTTACGTAAAATTAGAATTATTTGTTGGATGCAGCAGTCTTGTTCCTTTGGCTTTCTGGTCCATATTTGTTTTTATTTTTAATGGATTTTTTCTGAATTTTGTTGTAGAGTTGGGGATTTTCTTCATTTTGGAGGGTGAATTGAAAAAGTTCTGTGCTTACCAAAGGCATCAAATGTTCAAAGTAATCTTGTTCTCTATCACCCTCCTAAATTAGATGCCATTACAAGAAGGTATTCTCCCATCATAAATTTTACCCAGCCAACTCATGAACTATCATTGTCTGGGTCTCTTTTAATAGGCACTCATTCAATAAGTACTGATCCTGGGTTAGACACTGTTCCAGAGAATAAATTTATGTTGTCTCCACAACATAAATAAAACCTGTGTTCCATTTAAAACCATGTCACTTGTAACGCAATTAGTACTCTTGAGTGTTTTTTCTAGACTTTTTATAATCATTTAATATAGTTAATCCAGTTTCCAGAGGTGGACCCCAACTCCTTACGCCTTCTTCAGTTTTCTAAACCCCAGTCTCCTCTGGGAACTTCTGGGGAAGTGTTCCAGTCCTCCCAGTGATTTTGTATTTCTTCTCTTTTAGTTTCTTTGGATCCCAAGTGTTCTTTCTGTGTAAAAACAAGATGCTCCCTTTCCTGGTAGCTTCTTTAATAGCAGTTAGATCTGAATGCATTTATCTTTCTCTTGATATCTAACTTGACATTTCAGGTCTCATTTTTTTACCTTGGTACATTTCTGTTGTGCCGAGGGCAAAGACCCATCACATGCTGTACTAATGAAGGTTTACTGGGGGAAAATAAACAAGCAAAAAAATAACAGAATGTACCTGATTTTCCAAGATGCTGCTTTTTAATCACTAAGAGAGTTGTGCTTAGGTCAGGCATAGTGGGGATGCAACTTCTGAAATGCTCTAAATTTTGGGGAAAAAAGGGTAGGAAACATCTATGACCAGGGAACAGAGAAGCTTCTTGGTCAGAAAAGGGAAGGACTTACAGTGTTAGAACCTTTTAACCAAAGATCTTGGAATGGAGCCAGCTCTTTGTCAGGCTACAAATAGTATGGAGGAAGTGAGCCTTGGGCACTAGATAGATCTCTCAGTCCTGTTTTTCAAAAACGTCAACCATCAACATCCTTTTAAGAAAAATCTCTCTCTCTGGTTTCATTATCTCATTGCTTCTAATCTGTTGGGGCAGATTTTTATAACTTGTTTTCCCCCTTAACTTTAGGAGCACATGTGATTCCTCAAGAGTGTTCCAATCATGGACTTTTCTCATTCCCCCACTTTTGTTGTTGTTGTTGTTGTTTTGGTGATACTGGGGTTTGAACTCAGGGTCACATTTGCTAAGCAGGTGCTGTACCCCTTGAGTCATTCCACCATCCCCTCTTAATCCCTTCTTAACCTGTAGTGATTTCACTGAGTGTTTTTTCTGCTTCATTCTTAGAAGATGACTTAGTTTCAATGAGGGCACTTTGTTGTTGTTGTTGTTGTTGTTTGTTTAAATAAACCTATCAGCTTTTTACACTGAACCTGCAATATACTTTAAAACCATAGCCAGCATTGATCAAATTGATAAACAGACCAGCAGAAAATATTGCATAAATTCCTTCAGTTTTATGCTTTGGTCTCAAATGTAGCTGAGAATAGCAAAAGAACCTTTCCATGCTGCCTATGAGGTTGGGACTAACAGTGTATGCTTTTGTGTGTGTAGTGTTGGGGATTGAACCCTAAGGCCTCATACACAGTAGGACAGTGCTCTACTATTGAGCTATATCCCCAGTCTGAGGCTAGCAGTTTAAAATCAGTAGCTTATACATTGTGTCCCTTAATGTTTCGGGAATCTCAAACCGAGATATGGGACACTGAGGCAGATTAGCAGGAAGCAACATTTTATTGTGTTGGCACAGATTCAGCGAACTTGTGTCCAAAGGCTGAGCCCCAAGAACAAAGAGGCCTTACCTTATATACCCTTGCAAGCAAGTTACAGAAGCAAAAGGTAAGGTTTAACCCATATATGGTTGCATGCAACTCTATTAGCAACTTTTCTCCCAGTGCTATGTGACCTTCCTCATGTTTCAATTCTTTAAGTTTTATCTCTGCTATGTCATCCTTTCCCCCTGCCACATTATCAGAACACAAATGTGTGTTTCTTTTTTTTAGTTTTCCTCCCTACTACATTATTTCCCCTTTGATACTCGGACCCACCTAAGGTCAAAGAGCATCATCTTGATTTAGGGGTTTATATTTTTATAGCATCATTACATGTGTGGCCGTTTTTCTTTTTATAGTAGCTTTTATAATGGTTTTGATAGACCGCAATACAAGGGGAACCAGGTAGGGTAAATTAAGCATGCTCCTAGGATAAGACCTATTGCCCAGCTTTTTATGACAAATGTAGCCTGTATTGTTTTCTTTACTCTGGGACTTTTAGTATCACTTAGCAGCAACCTCGCTAACCTGGGAATATATGAGCCAATGTAACATCTAACCTGTTGGCGGGTGCATGATACAAAGTATGGCTGTGTGGAGGTCCCAACAATAGCTCTCATAACATTTAGTACATGGGAAAAACCTTGTAAGGGCCAACCCAAAAGGTAAAGAGTCCAAGTGTGTAGAGGAGAGCAGGAGTGTGTCCCATGTTTGGGCTTCTTCCGTGTGTAGACTAGTCAGCTTTCGGAGTGA